CAGGGACTACACATGCGGGTCAAGGAAGAGAGACTGATTCGCTGGAGTTTCCCCTGACGATGGGTGGTGCAAAATGAATGTGGATGGATCTTCTTGCGAAGGAGGGAGGAGCTCTAGTTGCGGAGGTGTCCTGCATGACACGGCTGGAAGGTGGTTGTTTGGTTTCTCTCGCAATCTTGGGGCAGGATCTTCTACCAGAGCTGAGCTATGAGGATTCCTCCTTGGCCTCCAACTTGCCTGGGATGCGGGTTTCAGACACTTCTGACTAGAGGGGGATTCTCAAGTGGCTGTCCTCCTTATTAAAAAAGGGTGTGAGCCGCAACACCCATTGGCTTCCTTGGTTAAAAGGATTGCCGAGTTGCTTCGTAGACAATGGCAGACTAAGGTGTCGCATGCCTTCAGGGAGAGCAATATTGTTGGTGATAGACTTGCATTGTTAGGTCATGGGTTTACTAATACTCACCGGCAAGTGTACCGATCGCACAAGTAATATAATGATAGACTTGTATCGTCTCCACAGAGATTGAGGATTGGGTCAAATATCAATTAATAATTCTTTTCAAGAATGGATGAGTTCAAATGGTTTTGACAAATATTATCGATTTGTGTGAAATCGAGAACTGAAAATAAGGACTTGTAGCTAGGACACACTCACCACTATATGATCCTCACTTCTTACTCTGGATTGATTTACAATATTCAATTATATAATTACTCAGATAAATTATTATCTAGAATTAATTAGTTAAATCCCAATCCCTTAGCAATTTAACCCTTAACCTCAATTGGAGTCCTAATCCCTTAGTAACCCCTCATGAGAATTAAGCAGTAAACTCAATAATTTAAGCATCTGCAATTAAATATACATCTATTCCTAGCATGCATAGTAATTGTTATCTTACGCCCTTTCAAGATGAAAACTTCAATATTCCTATCTAGGGTTCTGACCCTCAAACTATCCTCAACTATTAGATTGATCAAGTCTAACAAAGAAGATATAAAATACGCACAAAGTAAAGATAAATATAATTATATAAACGAAAAACCATAAATCAATTCATCGTAACAAGGGTTCACATAGGGTTCGTGACCCTAACTACAATAAAAAGTAAATTAGCCAAACATAATCATGGCTAAAAATCCAATATTCAATGAAAGCATAAAATTACAGAGAAAGAAAGAAGAAGAAGAACTTGCTCTTCAGAATCCTCTCGGAGCTCTGCCGTCGTCTCTCTCAATAGAATAGGTCTGAATACCTAATTCTGTCTTAAGGATCCTATTTATAAGTCTCTCTTCTTTCTTCCAAAAATACCCCCAGGACAACACGGTATTATTTTCCCGCAACCCGGCGCCGGTTTGGCGCAAGTTTGCGCCGCGCTTTTGTCTGATATGAAAAGCCGGAACAATTTCCTCGCAAAGTGGCGCCAACTTCTTCAACAAAGTGGCGCAAAGTGGCTTCAAAAGTGGCGCCACTTTCCTTCAATTTGGGCGCTCCTTGGCGTGGAGTTTTGGCGCTGATTGGCTTTGACTTTGGGCGCCACTTGGCGCCATTAGTTGTTTCATTTTGGGCACCATGCTATTGACATGTTTTTAGTTTTTCCAGAATTCGGCGCCAGTTGGCGCCATGCTTTTGTCCATTATACTGTGATACATCTGTGTGGAGTTGCGTCTACAGGCTTTTTGTAATTTGTAATTTTCATTCTTTTTTCCTGTATAAACACAACCAATAGGTGAGAAATATTATTGGATTAGAAAGAATCAATATAATTAGCAAATATATATTTAAATTGCTCTAGTATGACTCAATTCTTATCAATTTTAACACAGAAAATCACACTTGCCAGAGGCACATCATTTACGAACTGGGAAACGCAGGTGCTGCATGCGCCCCCTATTGATTGTATTGATATGTTAGGAAGAGATGCTATGGGTGTTTCCTACCCAAGGCTTTGTATTGTGTAGTTGTTTTTGATTTCCTTTATATGCAAAAAAAGTACTTTGCATATATATATATATATATATATATATATATATATATATATATATATGGTTCATTTTTTCTGCCATTAATGTAAATAAGTTATTCGCAGTAAGCTCAATACGACGTTGTTTTGGGACAAAAATCATGGTATTTTTGTAATTTTAATTCATTTTAGGGTTATTGTAGTCTTTATAATTATAATCTTTTAATATTTCAATCCCAAAACGATGTCGTTTTGGAAGTAAATGTAGATAACTTATCTAAAGTAACTGCATAAATATTTTTCATTTTGGAAGTAAATACAGATAACTTATCTGTAGTAACTGCATAAATATTTCTCTCTCTATATATATATGTGTGGTAATATTTTTCTTATGTTACATAAGAAAAATATGATCTCCTACGCAAACTATAATAACTTTACCCTGTGAAATATAAATTGGTAAAATGATTAATGATTAATCATGACATTTGTGGACTAATTATGATAATAAAGGAATTACTTGTTAATGCTAGGTGAAAACTGAGGAGTGTGAAAAGTAATTAAAGTCAAATAACATGATGCTGGCTGACCAAGCTTGCTAAAGCGAGCTGCCCAACAAGCAGATGCATGTTTTGTTAAAAATTTGACGAAATAAGAAACATCATTGGACCATCTTCTTCCATAAACCGAGTCTAGGTTGATTAGGTGAAAAATAAGAATATAGGAATAAAGATTATTGAAATATTATAATAATAATAATTTAATTTTCACTATTTCTTCTCATTTTCTTGTAACGCATTATGAGTTATTGATTTCACATTAAATGCTTAAAAGTTTATTAAATATAACATCTAATCAATCCAATAATTATTGAGGTAAATCACACACGGTTAAGTCTAGGTCTATTGTTGGGACTAGTGATGAGAGATAAAGCTCTTACGAGATGTGTTCCTAATTAGAGGTGACAATATGAGTTGAATCCGACAGGTCAATCCGCCAAAACGGGACGGATTGAGTTATACCTTTTAACCCACCAACCCGCTTCAACCTGCCTCGTTTATTTATGGGTCAAAATGTGGCGGGTCGGGGCGAGTTGACCCGCGGGTCAGGTTTTTTTTCTTTTACTATTTGGTAGTATTTTATTTGTCACTAAGCTTTTGTGATATAATTTTTTTTTATTTTAGTACTCCCCTAGAAAAATAAAGAAAAACTTTATTTATGACAAAGGTTATCCATATACAGAGGCAAAAATAAGTTCCTAAAAAATATCTGACTGAATATTAGCTTATATTTAGGCTTGAGATTGAAAAAAAATTAAGGGGAGTGTGAAATAAAAATAAGTAATATTATAAAATTAATAAAAGGGTAAATGATTTATCCAGTCAATGGAGATAAGTTATCTTCGGTAAGCCCAAAACGACGTCATTTTGGGACAGAAATCTAGGTATTTTGTAATTATAATATATTGCAGGGTTATATTAGTCTTTATCATTATAATTTTTTAATCTTATAACCAAAACGACGTCGTTTTGAGCTCACTGGAGATAAAATAATTTTATCTCCAGTGACTGGAGAAATACATTTCCCTTAATAAAATATATAATTTATTATTTTTAAATTTTTTTTTAGGCGGGTTGACCTGCCAATCCACCTCAAAACGGGGTGGTTGATATTTTCAATCCATTATCAAACGACGGGTCAACCCGCCCCTCCCCGTTTTTGGCAGAGCGGGTTGGCCCATTTTTCCACCTCTATTCCTAATCAACACAATGTGCTTTGGGATGGGAGGATGGAATTTAGCTCTTTGTATTGATGGGGAAGACGGAGGGGAGATAATTGCAAGACGGTCTAATGCTTAGGTCAGTAGATATCTTATGCAGTCAAGTCTGAATGGAAAAATGATCATACCCAGGTTTAGTGTTTCTATATATAGTAGTTGAGCGTCCTCGTCATGCTGTTTTAGTATGTTGTTTATTCTTATTGGCGGGTAGGAATCGCCTTTGTAGGCGATTCTGTGTGCGGGATGCCTAATGTCGAGTTGTACCCTATAAATGCAACTATAAGCATGTGCATATCCTCTAGCCATTGATGTCGTGTGTTAGAGTGTTGAGGGATTGTCAAGGTACATAGGATGACCATATTTTCTTCTTCTGGAGGCCTTTCACTGGTTGAATCTGTAATCCCGTGTGGGATATGTTGATATCAACATCCAATAAACGATGAGATACTTTTATAGACTTAGTTTACATAAGATGTATAGATTAAGCTAATAAATAATTTACATATTTTAATATTTATATTAAATAATTTGTCTAAATATTTGTGACACAATTATTTTTGTATTCAACACTTCGAAATGCATGTTATATAGTGGGACCAGCTAGAACATTGTGTCAGCAATATGCGATGTCACTTCTCCCATTACATGAGAAGATGATATCCCGTTCTTTATTAGCATAAACTAAACAACTTATGTAAATAAGTCTATAAAGAATCTCTTCCGTAAATATTTAATAACTCGTATTTGTTATACACATGAAAAATAAAAAATGATCTCAAATAAATGCCCTATGTAGAATGCAGTCCACTACTCCACTTACCACCTTTCTATATTTTTAGGGTCGCACCAAAAGGGTAAGGTATGCATATATAATTAGGGAGGGGAGGGAGCATAGAGCCCATTTAAACTTTGACTTCTATGAAAATTGTTAGATTAGTTTTTAAAGTTATCGTAATTAATCTCAAAAATAGTTGTCACTTTATTAGATCCTTCCATTAAAGTCTGTCTTACGTTTTAACCCACTAGTAGTGATACCATGTAGCAACACGTTATCCATTTATCTACATTAAATTTACATATAGCCCAAATGAAATAATACAACTTCCTTCCAATGAGATGTGTTCTAGACCCACCCAATGGTCTCCACAATTTCTAGAAATGGAAGACTAAGATAAGTGACTAATTCAAATAGCAAGGGATATTTTGCACCCACTTAAATTCTTCACAATCAGCTCAAATCGAAACAAGATGCAACACAAGAAATAAACTATACGTACAATAGCTCGCATAAAAACTAGAATATAATTAAGTTCATATTCTTAAAGATGGATGCAACTCATGGAAAACTAAGCGTGTGCATGGTCAGCTCCTAATACAAATTCCTCAAGAATAAGTAGGAGGACAATAATAATAATAATAGAAATATGTAATAAAACTAGAGACTAGGCACAAGATCAAAACTATAATCAGAATAACTGCATATATGATTCAAGCCTAAAGAGCAAAATCAGATATTGGTTCTGAATCATATCTTCATCTCCCATTAGGCTCAGCAAGCCAAGGTCTGCATCCCACTTGCTCCATGAACTTTACAAGGCGCAAGTGCTTTGTATTCCATTGCTCAGCCAACTTCTGCTCCTTGGTTTCTGCATCTCTCCGCAATCCAGTTAACTGTTCCTTGTAATCTGCTTCAATTCTATCCAAAGCAGCATTCTGTTCTTCCCTAAGAGCTTTAATCTTTGCTTCCATTTCTTCAATCTTCTCCCTCATTCGACTCGCCTTCTCTGACTCCAACTGCAACTCCACTCTTCTTAACCTCCATGCTGCCTCCTTCTTATGCGCCATCCAAGCGCGATGCCCTTCTTCCAACTCTTTACAACACTCCCCTAACTCAGACATGAGCATGTTAGGTGTTACATTCCCCAAAACAAGAGGAGCATTCTCTGGTCCTCTTTCGTGTTGCAACCATGTGGAGGGAGAGAGACTTAGTGTCACAGAAGGGGAAGGTGGCCTAACAGCTTGATTATTGTTAGTGTTTGAAAGCCAAGGAGGAAGCAAAGCTGATGCAGGTGCTGGTGCATTAGAAGCAGCCATAAGATATGATGGTGAAGGGTGTTCTTTCACTAGTTTCTCAGCAAAAGTTTCAAGTATATGATCGTATTTGGTGTTGTCAACTAAACCAACTGTTCTGTTGTTAATCTCCTGTTTTTCTCTCTGTTGCTTCTCTTTGAATACTTCCCACCACTTGCCTAACCTCTTGGCAGTGCGACCCGGTACTTCTGCAGCAATCTTCTTCCACTTGTTCCCGTGTTTTGCTTGAAGGCGAATCACCAGACGCTGTTCTTCTTCAGTTAGAGATCCTTTTTTAATGCCAGGCTTGAGGTAGTTCTTCCACCTTTCTAAGCATGACTTTGCATCTCTGTTAAGTGGTGTGTTCATGCGCTGAGACACAAGATTCCATTCCCTAGGACCATACTGTCTGACATAAGCACATAATAAAGCATCCTCTTCAGCTTTCCAACGTTGCCTCTCCTTCATTTCCAAGTGCAAATTCCACTGCCCATTTGTTGAAACTTGAACTCTTCATCATGTATCTACAAAATTCATGACAATTAAATACATCAAGCAATTCCCATGACAATCAATGTCTTCATACCATGTTCAAGATGAAGCAAGACCATCTTCCATGAATTTATATCTACACAAGACAAATGTAGTCCAAAAACCGGAATATGCACTAAGAATAGAATATTTAACAGTACAAGATTAACCTCAAAATCATCGGGAAATTCAGCCAAGCAAAAATTAAAAAGACAATAAGCCTAGCAGAAGACAGAATATACCAAAAGAAACAAGAGAACCTGAACATCATTTTCTCTCAATGTCTACTTTTATTGCATTGTAGCAACAAAACCCACCGAGACATGTGAATTATTAGAGTATTCGTCACAGTTCCAAATATAAGTCATAAAAATTCTGTTTGCATCCTTTGGGCGGAACACCAATAAAGCAATCAAGTATATAATCAAGACAAACCATTCATTCAAAATATTCAGGAAAAGCAAACTCGAAAAGAACACAAATGCTCAACTATCAATAACTTTGATTTAAAAGAAGTAAAATTTTGTTAGCCTAAACACAAACAATGTAACAATAATATCAAGTCTCCAAAGTCAAGAGTTACAATATTCGACAAGTATACTAATATCCAGATTCTCAAAACTAGGTTATTCGGATGATTTCTATAAGGAATATGAACCACCGAACCAGTAGTTAAAAAAGCCCCAAGAATTTCCAAGAGTTATACATTTCATGACTAATTTCAAATTGTGGTTTCACACTAGCATAGCACAAGTAAGAATAAGTTATACCAACTCGAAAACAGAGCAAAAAATTGAAATCGAGAGTATTCAGAGCAAAAAGTTATGAATCCTTTCCATAGCACGTCAACAGATTTGCAAAATGGTAGAATAAAAGTAAACGAGTGTTTAAAATCATGGAGTTAGAGCACCTTCAAACCTGGGAATTTTAGCATACAACTTCAAGCAACAACAGAGCAAAATAACTAAAACTGAAACATATAACGTGCAACCATACTAACACACTTACGATTTTTCAAGTTTTTTTTTTTTTTTTTTTTTACTTGGTAAAGATTTTGCATGAATTTTCTTCACTAAAAAATTTACATGATCTAAGCCCCAGGTATAGATAAAGATAAAACGCAAAGAACATAACCACATGAACAAAAAATTTGAATTCACCAAAACTGAGCAAGAAACAAGCATTGCTTCAAAACCCACCATTCTAAAGCCTCCAACACACAGAAAAACTTATCCTTTATCTACTACTGCAGCACAACACCAAAGGGTTCCCCACTTCCGAACAGCCAAACGAACCTTGGTCTTTGACAGAACGCAAAAACTGGAGCCAACCCAGATGCTGAAAAACAAAGAAGAATATGTAGAAACGCTTACTTACACTTGCTCCCTAACTACCCAGCAGCTCACTTCTTCTCCGAGGCATCTCAGGGTCCATGAGAATAGCACAATTTTGGGTTCTTAAAAGAAAGAGAAATGGGAAAGTGAGAAGCACCCATACCATTATCCTAGAGAGAGAGAGAAAATATACCCGGTTGTGGAGTAAAGATTGTGGAGTAAAGACAGAGAGCACTGAGAGAGAGAGTAAGTTGGAATTGGACAAGACATGGAAGAGACCCCACAGGCTCACAAGGTGAAGAGAGAGAAAGTAGAAAAAAGCATTAATGCAGCAGCGTCGTACGTTGGTTTCAGCGCTTAAAATGCGACACTTTCTGCGTTTACTTGGAAATTATTGAGCGCACTGCCACTACCATATCACCTTGTATTCCAACCATTTACATTTGGAGTGTTTTTGACATAGAATGAATTTAATACTTGTGACACAACACCATGACCGTCTCATCACATCCACCATAGTAAAAATCAAAATATGACGTTTCAAAATCAAATTCCTAATTTGCCACGAAAAAGTCTCGTTATTGGTCCCAACCAAACACTTTTTGCCATGTGATACGCTGTGCAAGTCTCATCATCAGACACACAGGATATTTTTTAGCCGTTAACTCTTCAAATAGAGTTAATTTAAGGTTTTTCTTGGATAAATTTGCTGCATAAATTTAATATAAATGTCTCAAATGCATAATAAATAAGTTTAATGTTGCACAGTTCATGTCTAAATGTTTTGAGATGATAAAATGTAAAAAATATGAAAAATACCATTGTTCTTGATGTTAGAGCAGAATTTAATGTTTATTTTATGGAAAAATGATATGTCTTTTTAAAGGACTTAAATTATGTTATTCATAGGAATTTATAATATTAAAGTTAGATTTTTTTCTTTCTCTTCTGAAATTGTTAGCTGACGTGAAAAGTAAAAAAATATAAATTTAATATTATAATAATGTACTCTCAAAAGTATATAATTATATGCAAATAAAAGAACATAACTTAGGTCCTTTATAAAAGGAAAAAAATTATACACGACTATTGTAGCAGTGAAAAAATAAGAGATCTCATAATGTGAAAATTGTCCCTGGAGTGTTATAGCAACGTTTAGGGCATGTTTGGTGCATAGTATAGTATAAGACCTGATAGTATAAGATCTGATATTATAAGACCTGATTGTATAAGACCTGATTAAATTTAATATTATCCAGCGTTTGGTATGATATTGTATAAGATAATATCCTCCAATATTTTAAAAATTAATATATTAAAAAAATTATTTTAATATATAAATATTGAAATGAAATATTAGTTCTTGGGAATTGTACTTACAAGCGATATTAATACATCAATTTCTTATCATGCCTAATCCACCACTCCTAGGCCGGATTAAGTTATGCATCATTTTGATGTATAAAGGGGTCATGCTGTATAACCTTATACTATACGATGGTCACACCAAACAACTGAAAATATCATAACGTATAATATAAGCTTATACTATCAGACCTTATACATCACATCAAAGAGGCCCACAAAACACAACGTTTAGATGATAAGAGCGCGGGATAGAAGACGATAAGTTGTTATTTGAATTCAAACTGAGGATAAACCTTCTAGATTATGGATAAATCACCATAATTCAGAAGATAAAACTATTCTGAAGTTAAAACAACTTCCCAAAGCACACATCTCGGATAAATCACCATAATTCAGAAGATAAAACTATTTTGAAGTTAAAACAACTTCCCAAAGCACACATCTCGAAAGCGTCAGCATCCAAAATAAATTGGATTGAAGATAAGCATAAGATAAGGTTGTAACACCTAAATTCGAGTTAAAACAGAGGATTTCACACCCAAAACTTGAGGCTCAAGTTACTACCAACCATTACAACATTAGAGCATAAGTAATTTTTTGTTATTTTAATATTTTGAAAATATATGAAAAAATATTGGTTAGGGAGTTGTATAGCTAAATGTCTCTAAAAACTACGAGGTGAACAAGTCGTTCGGCTCATCGACCTTGCTTAATTTTATGTTTTTAGAAATATTTAAAAAAAAGTTAAATATTATTTATTAAAAATTCATTAATAATTTAAAAGGCTTCTTACGAAAAAGAATTCTTAAAATCTAGATTTTATGATTCTAAAAAATAAATATATATTTTATTGAACAAAAGACTTCTAAAAATAAAGTGCTAAATATTACCCTAAAATAGGAAGACTAATAAATAAATAAAGAAATAAAATAAAGATAGAAGCTAAAAGGAGAAAGCATGGGTAAAAACTTTTCATTTTTTATTTCAATATTTCTCCCTTATTATCATATTTTTATTCTATTTCTTGATTTCAAATTATTTTTTTAACATCAACAAAATCAATATAAATAATAAACAACGAAAATTGTCTAACTCTATTTTATGTTACCTTGTCCCTAAAAATATTTAAGAGAAAAGTTAAAATACCCCATGTGGTTTGTCTTTGAATCCCTTACCCTGCGTATGCTACTTTTTTTCTATCATTTACGTCGGAAATTTTTTTTTCGTCCAAGTCACTTATTAATAGTGTTAAAAAACTTAATTAATATGCCTTCTTATCTTCATCTACATTATCAGCATTATTTTTGATTGCTCATTTTCACTATGGAGTTTGTATTCATTATGTAATATTATACAATCACCTTTTTTACATACATAATATTTTGTGAGGCTCGTATTTTTTGAAGCAAAAAAAAACATAAACTAAGTCACAGAAAACGAATTTTTATAACATGACAGAATCATTTTTCCTACAACGTAACTTTTATAAAACCCTTTCACTATTGTCCAATGACTCTAATTCTTCAGGTGCTACAGTCTCCATAAATTCCTTCGTATCTTTCTCATCCAATGACTTTATTAACTTTGCCTCGTCAATTGCATCAAATGTTTTCATCATTTTATAAATCATCTTCAAACTCACTTCCATTATCATCCATGCCATCAAAGAACTTGTGAAATTTAGATTTGTGATGACGAACCAAGAGAAGTAGAAGTTAGTTTCTAAGTATCAAACCCAACAAAAAGTGTACAGGAGAAAGGGGAAATGGCAAGTAAATACCTATGAGAGTTCCATTGAAACATTTTGAGTTGCCAAGAGAATCTTTTCATGCATAAGAGGCTATGGAAATGGGGTTGCATGGGCTGTCCCGCGGGCTGCAGCCCTTTTTGACCGCTCTAATCGCCCTCGTCAAATCTTCTAAAAACTTCTGACTGTGAATAATCTAACAACTGGGAGATTAAAATTATGAAGTCGAGACGAGTCCAAGAGTTGAAGCTAAGACCAATGGTCAGGAAGAAGATTGGCAAAAATAATGCAAAATGGTTACCCACAATAACTATTACTTTCACGGATGAAACAAATCATGGTGATTACCCACAATAACTATTACTTTCGGTTGACAAGACAGGGCCGAGTCCATAACTTATTACAAAGAACGGCCAACATAATAATTCTTGTTGAGGAGATTAGAAGCATGTTGTATGTGTGGAATCACATTATATTATGTGTTGATGGTTACTCTTAAAAGGGCTTTTGGAACGAAGTATTTTGTAGAATTTTCGGAAAATTGAATTTTTCAAAAATTTTAATTTTCGAATGTTATCGTAAACTCAATATTTTGATCATATTTTTGAAAATCGAGATTCTCAGATAAAAAAAATTTCTTCTCTACCAAATGTCTCGTTAGTTCATCATTCAGAACACATCATAACCGAAACATTTTTCACCTATTACTCATCGTCAATGCCAACCTTAATTCGATTGGTGTTCCCCCTGGGCAGCTCTCAGCTCCCGTCGGCTTTTCATCAAGGTTCATTATTTTCAATGCCCTTTGTAAATGACCAGCTCATAGTTAAAAGTCCGAGAAGGCTAATAGTTAAGAGAAAAATTAAGAAAAGATTTTTTAATTATATTAATCCTATTGTGACAGGATTAAAAATTAGACCCCAATATTCTTATGAGGCTTAAAAGTTCATTTCTACTAGGTAACCCATTTATAAATAAAGCGTTAAGATAATAAGGTACACACACTTTTGAACCCTCTCTCTTAGCTGTCATTATGCACACACCTCACCCTTTGGCTATGTCGTCTATCATAATGCACAATAATCCACTTCCCGTAAAGGTATCTCCCCTATACATATAGGGCAATAGAATTCTTATGTTGCAGATGATGACATTTTTTCTCGCAGAAACAATCAAGTGGAGGTCCCACATGGAAGAAAAATAAAAATAAAAATAAAACAAAAAAACATGTGACGCTAATTTCGAAGAGAAAGCTGGAGAAAAAAATTTGGATTCCTACAACATAAGATTTGATTTTCCCACACATATATAAGAAAGAACCCCGATACAATATTAATTGACCAATCTCAGATTGAACATCTCGATCCAACAGAATCAAACAATGAGAATTTACCAAAAATCCATTTTTAAATTTAGTAGTTATATATATCAGAAAAATATTTCTGCATTTACTGCAGCTAAATTATCTGCATTTATTCCCAAAACGACGTCGTTTTGGGATTGAAAGATTAAAAAATTATATTTATAAAGATTATAATAACCCGAAAATAAATTAAAATTACAAAAACACCATGATTTTTGTCCTAAAATGACGTCGTATTGGGCTTACTGCATATAACTTATCTGCAGTGACTGCAGATAAAGCGAACCCATTATATATGTATATATATGAGGTAGGATCTTTGACACCAGTGTCAAATTTCAAATTTGACACCTAATTTGAGAGTTGTTAGATCAAAAAAAGATCAATGGTGTCATATGCTTACAAATCAGAGTCGTTGATCTTTTTTGATCTAACAGCTCTCAGATGAGGTGTCAAATTTGAAATTTGACACTGGTGTCAAACTTTGATCAAGGTAAGTTCAATGACTCTCAGATGAGATGTCAAACTTCGGTGTTGAAAATCTTATCACACACACACGCACATACATATTATATATAGGGCTTATCATTTCTCAAATTGCTTGAGATAATTTTATTGTCGGCTACTAAATCATATACGTATAAAAATGGATCAATGGTGATAAAGGAAGAGAGAGAAAAAGAGAATTATAATCATTCAAATGTGAATCAATTAATATAAGAAAATAAATAAATAAAACGACGTATTTTTTGGGTAGAAAGAGATAAATATATCTCAAGCTGCTTGAGAAATATTTATATATATATATATATATATATATATATATAGGTAAAGGATTTCTCAGGTCAATGAAGATAAGTTATCT